TTTTGGATTCATTCAAGGGACTCAAAAGGCCATGTCCAGGTCATTAAAGAGACATTTTTCAACCAGCTGGGGACCCTTCTTCCATCCGCCGGCGATGAGCCCGGGGCTGCCCTTGGCTTTACCCTCTGTCACGGGGATGCTCGTGGTCCTGTGCACCCCCCGGCTCGCATCCCTTTAGTGCTGAGCCCCGGCACAGGCTTGTCCCACCAGCAGCAGCCAGGCAATGGAAAATGGCAACTCATTAAACTGCGCTGCGGGATCATTGCGAAGGAGCTGTCAGCCTGGGCCGAGGCTGGAGCTGAGCTCTGAAGCCAGAGTTACTGCACCCTGCTTGGGTTTTGGGGTGCTGGGCACGGATGGCTGTGAGCTGGGCTCAGTGAGTGATGCTCCCAAGGCAGCAAACCAGAGCACAGCAGCCCCGGGAAGGTGTGCCGGCGGGGTGGGAATGAGAAAGGGAAGAAAATTCCTCCCACCTTCCCAGGGCTGAGGGAGCCATAAATTAGCTGTGATAGATGAGCTGGGTTTAATTCTTCTCTTGATGTACACATCTAACGCAGCCTCTCCTTGCCGGGCTAGCAGGGGTGTGGGCAGGGGTGGCCGGGATTCACGGGCAGCACCCGGCAGGGGAGAGGGTTTTTGGGAAGTGGGAGCCGAGGCCACCAGGACCCCAGGGCAGCAGCCACGCCTTTGCCGGGTGTTACCAGCCCCATCTCAGGGCAAAGCTGCCCGTGGCAGGCTGGCAGGCCGTCCCAGGGAGATGCCAACCCTCAGCCCCTCTTCCTGGCATCACCTGCCTGAATGACCGTTCCCCAAGCAGCTGCTCTAAAGCTCAAAATGTTGGGGTTTTTTTTGCCCCTATTAAAAAGCAGCCGCTGGGATTGCTGGCAGGCAGCCACCGAGCAGCTGCGGCCAGTGACAGCAAGGGGACAAGGGCAGGGTCTGCTCTGGGGATGGCTGCAAAGCCCCGGGGGGGGCAGGAAGGCCCCAGCCATGCATGACCCAAGGTTGAGACCTTTGGCAATGTCTGTCTGTCCATCAATCCATCCACCTATCTGGCCAGGGTTAAATCCAGCCAGTCACGCGCGCGTGTGTGTGTCCCCCGCCCTCTTCCTCCCAGCCTGGCTTCCATCACACTCCAGTGCCGGCGCTTTAATTCCCGTTACTTATTTATCATCGCAATTGTCTCTTAATTGCTTTGGCAGCCCCTCCGAAGCCTCCTGGCAAGGGAGGGAGGTGCTGGCATATAAATAAAGGCCATATATAAATAAACCCCGTTGAAGCCTTGGGGATCCTTGCTGGGCTGCCCCAGGCGATGGCACCCATTTGCCTGGGACAGCTCTCACCAGCTGGGTGCCCCAGGTGCTCTGGGGTGACAGGTTGGTCCCCAAGAGGCTCCAATGTGCCCTGAGGAGCTTTCCCCCAAATCGTGGCTTTCTGGCCCAAGGAAAGCAGGCACAGCTGCACCCTGGGGGGTCAGGGCCAAGCCTGAGCCAGGGCTGGGTCTGTGAGAACAAAAGGGAGCAGAAAAGGGGAAAAAAATAATCAAAAATCCCCAAACCACGTTTTCAATTAATTAGTGATGTCCCCAGTGACTCAGCAGAGGCCAAATGGATTTGCTTCATGTTTTATTGAAGGACTTTGCAGTGGGAGGCTGAGGGCAGCAAGGGCTGGGGTGCTGGGGGTTGCTCCCAGGGGATGTGGCGCTGGGGTTGGGTGTCAGCACCCAGTGTAAGCCCAGGGCCATCCTGGGTGCACCCAGGTCCCTGCTATGGTGGTGACATTTGCGTATCATCTTTATATGCTAATTGGGATGGATGAGCACAGGTTTTCCCCCAATCCCAGTTCCGGGTGCTGGTGGGCGAGGAGCCAAATGGGGCCCAAGCGAGCAAGCAGCCCAGCATGGATGGGAGCTGCGTGACCTCCCCCCAGACCAAGGGAGGGCTGAGCTGCTCCTGCAGCATCCCCTCGCCCTGGGGGGGGACATGGGGACAAATCTGCAGGGAAGCAGCAGCCTGGAAGCACCCTCTGACCGGGCTTGCCAAAGCAGGGCTTGGGTAGTTTAGTGCTTAACAGCCGCTGAGAGATATTATTTCTTTTTGGTGAAATTGTCTAATCAATCACTTTTTAATTCAGCCGGCTCTGGCACCCGTGCCGCCCTGGGACGCTGTGGGCTGCTGTTTATGTGCAAAGAGAAATACGGCCAGCTCACTGCTGGCCTCCTGGGCTTGGCCCCACTGGGCAGGGGGGGCAGGCGGTGCCTCCCTGGCCGACAGCCTCCCCTGGCACCCACCCCTCCCACCTCTGCCGGCTCCGGCATCACCACGGCATGTATTATTTTCACTGCCGGCATTGCAAGACCGATCCCGCTGAGGAAAGTCAGGCCAGTGCTGGTCAGCCACAGGGAAGAGGTTTGTCATGGCGAGGACGTGCCTGTGCTGCAATGGAGAGACAGTGGCTCAGGTCAGGGCATGGGGGCAACTGGTTAAATCACAAACTAGAAAAGTGTTGGTGCCAGTATGGGGCCAGCAGGGTGCTGCCACGCCTATGCCCAAGGGTGCTCAAGGGAACAGCACATGCCATCACCTCCTGGTCCCTGCCAGGGCGAAGCTGTGGCACAAAACCTTCCCTGGGGTCCCATCTGCCCTCCCTGCACCAGCCAGGGCACACACCTCCCTGCCCTGCTGCGTGGCCACCCACCACCTCCCTGGGGCCGGTGGGAGCCCGGGGGCTGCAGCACCCTGGGGAGGACAGCGGGTGCCAGCTGGGTGCCGGCTGCCCAGCCGTGGACGCAGCCACTGCTGCTTCGCCCCCAGCACGAAAGCGCCTGGGCATCACTTTGGGCTGCTGGCAGCCCCCATGGCCGAGCCCCCGTGGCCAGGTGCCCTTCCCCAAGCTGTCAACAGCTCCTGGGGTCAGGGCTGGGCTGCCCAAAGCCGTGCGGGGAGAAAGGCCGGTGAGCACCTTCCCACAGTCCTCGAACAGCTAAGCCCCCCCCCCACCCCAAGTGACACACTGCGCCTTGGCAACATTCAAGCCTTGTCCAAACCTTCCTTTCAGGCTCGAGGTTTCTATTTTTCCCTCCCTGGCCGTTGCTCTTCAAAGTGCTGCAAAAGACCGAATCCATCCCCAATGCCAGTTTGATCTCAGATTTACGGCCCAAGCCCCAAAATCCTCCGCTGCTTGCGAGGTCCTTTGAGAGAATCACAGCAGAAAGTGTTTATTTCCATCATAAAGATCTGTTTTAATATTTTAACATAAATCAAGCTGCGCTTTATGGTGATAATAAATTTGTTGGCAGAAACTGCCTTTGCAGCCCGAGGCAGCGGAGCAATTCAATTTGTTTGGTTTTAAGTGTAAGGAGCTGTAATTGAGAAGGGGAAAGTACAGATGTTTTAATTGAGTTTGCAGCTACCACCCAGAGTTGCAGGAGGCTAATAGAGACGAAGAGGTGAGGGTCTTCCATTAGCCTCTCCGCTTGCCATTTCTCCTTGGCCCGCAGCCCCATCAGTCACAGCCGTCCCCGCCAGGAAGAGCTGCTCAGCGCATGCAGGAGGTGGGGGAAGGGGGCAGAAAAAGAAACCAGACTAAACCAGATGTATAATGTGCATTTTATTGGTTTTCATCCCATTTTTTGAAAACTAATTACAGTCAGGACAAGCATCACGTGAGAATCTGTAATAATGAATCGTTAAGTGTTGGTAACGGCCCAATACAAAGAGACTCAGTCGTGATGGGCGAGAGGAGGGAGCTCCTGCCCCGTGCCAAGCTGGGGTCACCCAGCGCACCCGCAGCCAGTGTGGGCTCCACCAAGCTGTCCCCTTCCCGCTCTCTCCAGTAATTTTTAAGGCATTGCTATGTCATGTTTTGTATGAAAAATGTTCTCTCTGCCGTAGAGCTTCTTTCCGTTAATCACCCCGATTCCTCGGATAGATTTGTTTTGCTGCTGTGCAAGGACAGTGGGTGTCTGGGAATTTGTGGTTATTTATTTAAGAAAGCACACATGCTCCTTGGGGACCAGAGTCCTTCTCGGTAAGGTACCACGGCAAAGGCTGGGGCCGGGATGCGAGCCCTCTCCGTGCCACTGCATCCAACGCCTGGATCCAAGCAGCTCTTAGAGGTAAGGCCCCTTAGAAGTCACTGCCCCGCACCATGCCGAGAAGGAGGTGGTGACCCAGGCCAGGGAGGAGAAGGCACATCTTTACATGTAGATGGCAGGAGAGGGTGTGCCAGGCTGGGCTCCCTCCCCCTCCCACCCCAGGCAGGAGGCTACCCTGTATGAAACAGGGGCAGGAGGGGAGAGAGACCGAGGGCAGCCCTAGGAGGGGAAGGGAAGGTGAGAAGAGATGAAATAACAGAGAACAGCCCCGTTCTCTGGCTGGCAATGAAACGTGAAGGCAAGAGATTGAAATGGGCGCTTGAAGGGATGGAAGCTGAGCCAAGTGCCTTGCCAAGCATGGGCAGCCTAGGGCAGACAGTGCAGTAGGAAAGGTCTCAGCCCCCTCCATAAACCCACACCTGCGCATTTGTGCAGGGGAACAGTCCCTGCAGCCTCTCCAGCTTTCCAAAGGCTCATTGCATTGGCATTAAATTCCTCCCTCCAGCTCTGCCCAGCTCCCTCACAGGTGGCTCCCAGCTCAGCTGCCCCGTGAATTTGCCCTCCAACCTACCTCTTCCCAAATGAGACCCCAGCACCAGCTACCTGCTAACTAACTTAATTTGGCACTGAAGATGCCACATCAGCTTCCCCAGAGCACTTGGGGATGTTTAAACTCACAAGCGAGGGCTGCCAAAGCCTGTTTAGGATCAAGCTGGAGAGGAGGCAAACAGTCCCCCCAGATCCTCTCCAAGCAGCTTGGCAAGGACACAGTGGTGGTGCTCAGGCTCGAGAGAGGCAGGGTTTTGCTTTAACAGGCATGAAGTGTTTTTTATACAGCTCCAGGTACTTGCATATTCCCCCAGGAGGAGCACTTCAGGTCATATGGAAACCAGAAAGTCCTACTTGAAAACAGAGCTTGATTAAAAAGAGCTGCAGTTCAAAGCTTGCTTTAGTGAGCGGCGACACTTAATACTGCAGCAAGTGCAGAGGGCAAGAGGATCTAACGTAAGTGACATGCACCTGGCTTTGAACCTGCTTTAATAAGGGAGGATTAAAATATTTCAGATGAAAACTTTTAAAGTGCTTCCTTTTGTTAGGAAAACCCATACGATCTTTGCCCAAGGGCCTCAGAGCACAGGACCCAGTGCCGTCTGTCACCGTGCGGTATCAAGTGACCACCAGTGGCCTCAAAAGCAAAGACTCACCTCGAACACTGGCTGCCTAAGGTAACAGGCAGCCCACTTCTCAGAGAAGCTGAGCAGGAGCAGCCCAGAGCCCACCTTTAACCCTGTGCAGAAAGAGAAGAGGGGGGATCCAAGCCCAGTTCCAGCAGGGTTTCAGTTTTTGCTCTGCGGCGGTTGGGAGCTCTGCTCCTGCAGGCAGGCAGGGCTGAGCCAGGGCACTGCCGCTTCCTCCTGGCACCAGCCCATTCCCTTGAGTTAACACCCACCTTGTTTCAAGGCTAATTACCCAGCACGGGAGGCTGGAAACGCATCAGTGTGCGCAGCCGGAGCTCTTGCAGGCCTCACGCGTGTCAGGACTGGGTAATTAGCACCTCCCCAGCCCACACGAATCCTGACCGCTGGAGTCAGGGTCTGGCTGGTTGTACCAGCCCCGTGCGATGGTGAGAAAGGGCTCTGCCAGCTGAAGCCACTGAGCTGCATGTGGGAGCCGAGGGAAGCAAGACTGTGGTTTCCTTTCCAGGGGCGAAGGGCTGTATTCCTACACGCGTAGGGGTATTGCTCTGTCCAGCTGGGGCTGCCACAGCACAGGGAACAGGATGGGAAGTGTGAATGTAAACTCCTGGCCTGGAGAAATCCAGCTCTAAGCAAAAGATCCCAGGCAATCCATGGTGCACAAACAGGTTAATGCCTCTAGAAAAAGAAAATGTAACAGAGCACAAAATTATTTTCTTCTGAATTAGGTCTATTCCCACCCTAATTTCTTCCCTCAACTGGCACACGAGGCTGGTATGAAGGTGTCTCAGCAGAAAGAAGAGACTCAGTTCTCCCAAACTCCTGCCGGATTCTGCACAGAACATCCCTGCCTTTGGAAGAAGGGACATTTAGCCGATTAGTGTAGTGAGCAGCCGAGGCTGGCTGCTCTCCTGTGGGCTGAGACCTGCAGCACACAGAGAGCCACTGTAGGGACGGAGAAAGCAATGCTCCAACAGAGCTGAAGGCAGAAATGGCTGGACACTGGTTAATTGTGCAGGCTGCCAAGGGCTCAGCCCCACGGCTTTGTATAGCAGGTATAGGATTGTAACAAGGCTGAGTCCACTCCATCCACACCCAAAATGGAGTGAAGTCTGTGTCCAGGTCTAACCTGTGTCACCAAGCCGATGGCCTGGAAACTTCCCTTCATGCTGCCTTTCCCCCACTGCACAGTCCCAGAGGGTAGGCTGAAATGCTGAAGTCTCTGGAACCCAGGAGGGAGCGTGCCACTGCCCCCACATCAGAGTTTTGACTCGCTCAGGACAATGTTTGCAGTCACAAACACAAAGCAAGAAAAGCCCCATATGAGCACGAACACAATCCAGAAGGTGTGTCGGAAAGGGGAGAGGTGTTTGTTAACTGTCCCGCTGCCGAAGACCAGCTGAGTGTCTTTCCGACTGCAGTACGCGAGGAAAGCCGGAATGAGATACTGGATCCCATTCCCAGCATAGGCTCCCGTGATCCCCACCAAGGACTCCAGATCGTGGGTGCAGAAAGCCACCAGCACTGGGGGAATCAGAGTGATGGAAGGAAAGACAATCCTATCCACCACCCACGGGTAGGTCCCCCCTTCTCTGTGGAAAAGGGTCTTCCAGTTGTTGCGCAGGGTCACTGCGATGATGGGGAAGTTGGTGCTGATGGTGAAGACGGGGAAGAGGCCCAGGAAGTAACGAATGAAGGCAACGTTGATGATCTCGCAGTTGGTGAAGTTGAGCGTGTACATGTCCATGAGGGTGTCGTTGCGGAAGCAGTAAATGGCAGTGAAGGACAGGAGGCTGTAGAAAGCCAGGATCAGGATGTAATCAAGCAGCACGAGCTTGTTGACATGCTTCTTCTTGGAGATGGGTGTGATGAGTGATGGCAGGGAGTGCTGGCACATGAAGGAGTAGACGCACACCCCAAAGAGATTGCGGATGCCCGACAGCTGGGCCATGGACGGGTGACCTTCAGATTGGCCTCTGCTGATACGGATGAGGGCCAGAATAATCATGAGGATGAAAGCTGGAGAGAGAGAAGGTTTCAGGTCAAGCCCAGGTCTGCACTCCCCACAACCCTCCTCCCATCGGCACTGGCAGTCTTGGCACCAGCTCTCTCTCCTGCTCCACAGGAGCATCTCCTCCTCTCTGGAGAAGGTGGTACATCAAAAGCAAGGTGCATGGGAACTAATCACGACTTGCTGTCAGTGCTAGGCAGCAGATAAGGGGATGGGCTCAGGAAGGCCTTTGGCAGGTACCTCCCTCCGGTCTCCTTCCCGCAGGGACTCACGCTCCCACCCCGGATAGGAAACGGTCACTCTGGGTGCTTCAGAAGTGTAATGCCAACACAGCTGGCTGAGCCCATTGCCCTCAAGTGTCTCAGTCCACGGATGCTTCTGCCATGCACCTTGGCTCAATATCACCATTTAAAAAACAGCTTAGAGATGTTTGAGCTTTGACCTCTAAAAGAAGAAAAGATTAAACCAGGCTGCAGTCAACGCCAGTAATATTCCTACATATTTACAACTGGTCTACCGTTTCCAAGACCTCACCTATGTACGCAGGCAGATGCACGGGAGCAGCAGCTACTACTGAGCTTTCCTGTCCCTGTGATCTGTCAAGCACAACAGAGCAAGAACTAGTCAGCCATTTCCCGGGCAGGAGGAACAGGCTGTCTGTAGTTAATCCCAGGGTGGAAAAGCCAGTCTGGAAGGGACTAAAGCAGCACTGAAAGACTGCTATTAAAATTCATCACTTCCAGGCACAAAGTCTGCTCATCTACCCTTCACTTATGTCAGGGAAAAGCCTAGCAACATTTTACAAAGCTTATCACAAAAAGCAACGTGCTATGGACAAAAATGAATTGAGGAGATTGGGCTAATGCCCTTATTTACTCTGCTGGTGGAAATTGGAGCCAGAAGCAGTTACTGCTAGACTGTTATTCCTAGCATGGCACATAAAACCAGCAGAAAACTAATTCTGGTGTCACAGAAATCACATCAACCTGGGAAAGATGATCATCAGCTGCTGGAGTTAACAAGGAACAGGGGAAAAAAAACCTGCCTGGCAGGGCAGCAAGCAACAAGATTTACAGTCTGGTGCTGGCAATGGATGGGCCTCTGTTGCTTGCAGAGAGCTGTCTCCTGCACTGGTTTGAGGCATCAGAGCAGAGCCATGAATTATCAGGTAATGAAAAAAATAACAAAGTGCTGACGCTACTACTATGGACAACTTTGAATGTCATAAATATAAATACAGAGGAATTAAACAGAGCAGTACACGGTCCTGCGGCCAAGCCCACGGGAGGCTGGCCGGCCACCGGCACTGAGAGCCGGGCAGGCTCGCTGTGGGGTGACAAGGACACAGTTTGCTCTGTGCCCAGTACTGCTTTGCCTGACTCAGGTGGCTGACGACAGGGAAACCATGCCATGGACAGGACTAGAAGCAGTAGTTACAGACCAGTTAGCTGCCTTTTCTGTCCCCAGTGAGACCAGATTAACCTTAACTGAATGTTGCCTCCTGCATACCCCCAGCACTCTCTGAAACCCAGGTTCTCCTCTCATACCAATCCATCTTTTCTTCCTGCAGCAAACACCAGCTTTGTGCTGAGCCCTTACCAAGCCACGCACCGCATTTCATCTCATGCTGCCTCAGGAAACTTCTCGCTTCCAACTGTTTCCTGGTGACAGGGCAAGTCTAACAGCTCTCCATCAACACTGGACTGATGACAGCAGATCCATTCCTTCACAGCACCACCAGGGCCAGGCAGCTTTGGGAGCGCAGGCTCTATTTACATCCCCAAGAGCAGCCACGGAGGGCTATGGAAAGCAACAGCTCATTGCTCTGGGGGTGCGCAATTCCCCTCGCCTTCACTCAAGCCAGCAAGCAAGGGGCACTGTGAACACTGGTACGGTTGTTGTGCCTCCCCCGTTGCTCCCTGGAGGGGAGACACTTGCCAACCATATCCACTAGAGCAAGACAGCCCGAAAGAGCTGTGTTCCAGTTGATGGGACATTGGCTGTGCTCCCCAGGCTTGCACAGGCTACAAGGATGATGAGAAGGTGCCCAGAGCAACACGACAAACCAGGTTAGGCAGCTCTGGAAATGTTCCGAGACCACTCCTTTCCCTCTCACTTGGGAGAGGTGGTCAGCCTCTGTGGCCCAATCCTGAGCAGTTCCTGTATCTGGACAAGGCGCAACCGCAGAAGTCTTGCGCCTCTTCCCCTGCATGTGAGACAGTAAATCTGTACCTGCTCTGCTCAGCAGAGTGAAGAAGAGTGAACTACTTCCACCCCCCAACTCACTCTTGCCCTTGGCTCAAACCCCCGCTTTCCGCACCAGTGCTAACAGGACCAGTTCAGGGACCCCCCAGGCTGGCACCCCATCCTCAGAGCATCTCTTCAGTCAGACCCACGGGCCCACCTCTGGCCCAGCACGGGTTTTTCTGGTAGGGAGCACCGAAGGGTCAGATTTCCAGTGGATTCCCTAAATGATGGATAAAAATCTATGGCTTAAAACGCTAGAATTCATAACACCTTTGTTTTTCCTCAAACACTTTTTTCAGAAACTAAACCTATTAAAAGTTAAAGTTACAAGGAGCAATAAGCCCATACTAAGATCTAAACCAGTACTGTTTCCAGCAAGGCAAGCTGTGCTCCCCCTGCCCTAGCACTAGTGCTCTGCAGATCCTTGAGAGAGGTGGTGCTGAGTAAACGGGAACCCTCCCCTGCACGATTCCAGCCTCAGAGAAGACGACAGCAGCCCTGCCATGGGCTATGGTTGTGTTTTCCCTTGCTCCCTGCGGCAGAAGAGTTTCTCACTCCTGGAATTGGAGAGTTAAAACATCTGCCTGCCTGATTTATCTGCCTGTCCCTGGGAGGAGGCAAGCCCAAAAACGAGACTCTGAAACCTAGTTAAGTTGGACGATAAATCAAGATGAAAAGAAGATGACAGACTGACTGACAGGCGGCTTTGAGTAGACAAGGGGCAACTCAGGATCCTCAGGCACACACAAAACTCCTGCTCACATCCTCCTCTACCTGGGACAGCAGGCTGAAGGCAGTCACACTGCACTATTTCAGATCACCTACAGCTGCCACATGAACTGTCCGACAGCGTTCCTTCACCACGAGGACCCTGGCAAAGCCAGGCATGGGTTCATAAAAAAAGCCTCAATCTGTTCCTCTACACGCAGGACAGAGGATATAAGCAACATGCCCCCAGGGGTGAAACCCATTCAGGTACCCTGACTAACAGCATCCAGAATCATACAGTGAGGTGGGATGATGAGGAGTGATGCTACCATGGATTGTTAGTAGGTTACATGAAAATTTTGGTTTAAATCTTGTCTTATACAAGTGCTTAAAAAGCAATCACAGGGTTTCAACAGCATCAGCCCCACTTCAAATGCACACACGGCAGAGAGGCTTTGCAGTCAACACGGCATGGACACCACTTCTCTTCTCTAGAGGTTTGAGCATCCTTTTTACTAAAGGATGTGAGGAAAAAAATAAAGAGAGGGTATGCCAAAAAGGAGAAGTTGTGATGAATCTCATCACCACTGCCCAACCACCTCCCCTCCAGACCCCCATCTCACTCTTTGAGGAGCAAACGCTGGCTCTTCTCGAAGCAGACCTCGCAGACTCCTGCTGCCTGTCCTGCTCAACTTGGGAGATGTTAACCCAGAGACAGGGCAGCTCTGCTACAGTTCTTGCAGGTGGAGGAAGGATGAATATGGATGAGCACACATCCAAATAAGAGCACTTTGGGAAAATATGGGATTCTGGGGATACTGTAAAATACATTTTTGTGAGCTTTGATAGAAGCCTAAGAGAGCTGCAGAGAAGCAGTGAAAATAATTTAGCCGTTCTAAGTTTAAGGATTGTTTTGCAGTGTCAGAGCAAACAGCTTTGTAAATGAAAAATACTGTCTTGTACATGAGCTTCATCTCTCTGCAGAAAGGCTACTGCAGGGGGAAAAAATAAAAATAAAAAGTCCAAGGCTGAAGCACGTTTTCCCCATCATGGTAGGTTCCTGGAAAAGGAACTGATGCTCACAATGGACACCACTTCTCTTCTCTAGAGGTTTGAGCATCCTTTTTACTAAAGGATGTGAGGAAAAAAAATAAAGAGAGGGTATGCCAAAAAGGAGAACTTGTGATGAATCTCATCACCACTGCCCAACTGCCTCCCCCTCCAGACCCCCATCTCACTCTTTGAGGAGCAAACGCTGGCTCTTCTCGAAGCAGACCTCGCAGACTCCTGCTGCCTGTCCTGCTCAACTTGGGAGATGTTAACCCAGAGACAGGGCAGCTCTGCTACAGTTCTTGCAGGTGGAGGAAGGATGAATATGGATGAGCACACATCCAAATAAGAGCACTTTGGGAAAATATGGGATTCTGGGGATACTGTAAAATACATTTTTGTGAGCTTTGATAGAAGCCTAAGAGAGCTGCAGAGAAGCAGTGAAAATAATTTAGCCGTTCTAAGTTTAAGGATTGTTTTGCAGTGTCAGAGCAAACAGCTTTGTAAATGAAAAATACTGTCTTGTACATGAGCTTCATCTCTCTGCAGAAAGGCTACTGCAGGGGGAAAAAATAAAAATAAAAAGTCCAAGGCTGAAGCACGTTTTCCCCATCATGGTAGGTTCCTGGAAAAGGAACTGATGCTCACAATGAGTTTCTGGCTTAACCCTCCCTTGCATCCCTAGCAATACACTATGCTTTGGAGACATTTCACCTGGTGCCTCACATCTATCTCTCGGTTGGCATGTGGAAAATGATGGAGAAGATCCTCAACTGAGTCACTGTCAAGATTTAACCCCAGCCAGCAACTGAGCCCCACCCAGCCACTCGCTCATTCCCCCCAGTGGGATGGGGGAGAGAATCAGAAGAGTCAAAGTGAGAAGACTCATAGTTTGAGATAAGAACAGTTTAATAAGTAAAGCAAAAGCTGCATGCACAAGCAAAGCAAAACAAGGAATGCATTCTCTCCTTCCCATGGGCAGGTGGGTGCTCAGCCATCCCCA